GAACGTATCGCACAATTCGTGATCTTAATTCTAATGAGAAACAACCTGATGATGATTCAGTAACTTTTTTTTTTTTTTTTTTTTTAATAAAATGTCAAAGCATCAACGCTATCTGAATAATAAGTTATTAAGAAAGTTTTTGCAAAAATTATACTTTAAAAGCTCAATTATTTTTCAAGATTTTAATGGAATTTGTATACAACTTAATTACAAAGTTTTGTAATGTTTAAGTAAAAATTTAAAAAGAAAATTATTTAGCTGTAATATTAAATTGATTTATATTATTTCGTCTTATTTAATTTATGTAAATAATACAGCATATAATATTAATCAATTTTGAATCTATTAATTAACTCTTGGAATTAGTAAATATCTCTCTGGTGTAATAAATTTCTTAAAACAATCTGTGTAAATCTTCTTCGGTTTTTGTTTGATGAAACACTCGCCAAAATAACATCCCAAGCAATTCCGGAAGATCACAAAGGCTAATGAACTGCTCTTTTGTGCAAAGTATACAAATCCCTATACGATCCCCATGGCGTCAGTTTGTAAGCCTGACTGTCATATTACTTTAATAATACAATCATCACTTCTGTCATCATCAATCGTATCTATTTTCTCACTAACTGACCTGAAATAAGTGTAAATCCTAAATTTGTAGGTACAAAACATAATGCCACATTCGATTTTGTCATCTGATCGATTATTCTTATAATATCCCTCTTATAATATCCCTGTCGTTATGATTATAAATATGGTTTCCAATCACTTATAATTTCTGCATTATTTCGTTCATATTAAACTATTTATTACGTCTTATTTTATCTAATTTCGATTTGCTATTCTAATTTAATTATATATAAGTTTTTAATTTGAATTTATTTTTCCCTAACAGATATCAGTGTTTTAAATTCTTTTCATTTTGTTAATTCACTATTGTGAATACATTCATTTGCCAGAGGAAAAATATTACTTCATCAACTGGAAAATGTTTCCCTTGTATAAAATTTTTCATTAACGACCATAATTAATAAGCAATGCAAATAAAATGTCTACGTTAGAAATACGAATAATAAAACAAAACTTGTATATCAATATCCAATTACAACATTTCAATGTATAAAAAAATAATAAATGCACACATATGAAATCAGCTCCGATACAAATATAATCTTAAAAAATAAATTTGTCTTGCGTTATTGCAAGAATTGCAATTTACATGAATTGCAACGTGTTGCGACTATGCGTATTTATTAGCTCGCACAATCTAATTTTATTAGTGCAAAGAGGTGAGCGTGATAACTCAATTAATACGTCGCGAATATCTTTAGGTTTTGGATGTGCACTTTGCAGTGTGAGAACGATAACAAAAATAAAATGTTTATTTTATTTACAGGTAATTATTTTAATTCTTTATTTCGTTAATTATAAAAGATAATCTCTGTTTAGAAAAGCTTCGATATATGTACAAGATATTAATGAGATAAGCAAGTGTTAATTTATACAATGTTCTTACGTAAGTAGAAAATCATCATTGATTCTGTATTAATAAGAGATTATCATCATAATTGAGAATATGTATTTTTTTTGTGAATAATATTGAATAATCAGTATCCTAAAAACGTATAGCATAATTAATTGATCGAAACAGAGGAAGGACGCGAAATATTCTTGCACAATCGGACAGAATACTCTTTTTCCCTTCTATAAGTAAGTTTCACCCTATTCAGTATGGTAAAAAGTATCTCGTATTAGACGATGATGTAACGAAGATGTACACCATACAGGCAAGCAGACGACGGAACCTTGACTACGTGTATCTAGGCCAGTGGCCCCTCTCTCTCTCTCTCT